TAGTAGGGAAGGATTGAGTAAGAGATGAGAGGAGGAGTGCGAAGAGGATGGTTGAGATGTTGTTATGATAGGATTGTAGTGGAAGAAGGGAAGATGAAGTGAGGAGGTGGAGTTGAGGGACGAGCGAGATGGAGTATTTTGCGGTGTTTGAGAGATCGGTGGATATGATGGAGTGTAAAGGATAGGGAGAGATAGATTAGGGGGGACTAGGAAAAATTAAGGAATGCCCAACCTTGTTGACGATTCATCTCTACACTCACCATATGCTCCTGATGCTCATTCTGGCCTAGTCAATCACTCAAAATTGTATATATACAATCATATTGTACACTGATTCCCCGGTCCAAGTACAACCGATGCCTCTCAGAAAGTGTCTTTTTCTAAGAACCTGTGTTTGTGTCATCAATTAGCACGTCTCAAAGCTATGATGTTTTGTTCACATTTTCCTGTTGAACTGATAGTCAACCTTACATGAGGGACGAGTGAGATAGAGTATTTTGCAGTGTTTGAGAGATCGGTGGATATGATGGAGTGTAAAGGATAGGGAGAGATAGATTAGGGGGGACGAGGAAAAATTAAGGAATACCTAACCTTTTGTTCGTCCTTTGCTCTTAGTGATGATTTTCCTAACCTTTCCTCTTAGTCATGCTTCTTTTCCTTTCCTCTTAGTCATGATTCCTTCCCTTCGTACCTTCTTTCCTTTCCTTTATGTCACCATTCCTTTCCTTTGTGTCATCTTTCCTTTCCTTTGTGTCATCTTTCCTTGTTCTTGGCATTAAGTCTAACCATTTTAGACATAGTTCTTCCTCTGTAACCAAGTATGTAATGCTTCTTTCCTTCTGTAACCGATTATATAATTTCCTCTTTCCCTCTCTAACCATATTAGGACTTTCCTCGAAGGAAAAATCTATGCCCCCATAATTTTTCAACTCAAATAGATAGGCTGATGAAGAGAAAGCAGCAAATCGCCGCCAGTTCAACACTGCTAACAAGCGTCTTCGTCGTCAAGAGCATGTAAGACTCATTTCATATATTCATCATATGAGCTGACGCACCAATTGAATCAGCTTGCTGAAGATCGAGAAAAGGCAGTCGAAGAGTACAAAGCCCGGAATGAAAAAGACCCCACGGATCTTCTACGACCTGAGTATATGTCAGAGCAAGCATCAGAGGTTGATACAGATGACGAGGAAAAGAGGAAAGATAGGCAGAAGGTGCTATACCAAGCGGCCAAACTAACCGAGCGTGAAGTTCAAGCAGGTATTCCTGTATGGGAAATCATCAGACCGGCGTGGCGAGCAGATGAGGTATAAAACTGTCCGATAATCTTAGGCTGCTGATTTTTCATCAATGACAGGTGACGAAAATCTTGGAGGAGCTAGATTCAATTAGGGACGAACAACGCAAAGAGTCCAAACGCAAAACGGCACTCACCAGACGTGTCAATCTTGGTTCCGAGTTGAAATCAGAGCCTGTGACAGAAATAGCCATTTCACTTGCCGGTGAAGGAGCTCTGGATGTAAGTGTGTCGAGAGAAAAGGCTTCGGGTAGTAAGTCGATATCTGGAACGTCGAGTTGAGAAGCGAGAGTCAGAGATGAGGGGGTGAGATCATCGAAAGGTTGGAAATCGTCGTCAGAGGATTGCGCATGTGCCGCGTAGATACATCAGAGCAAATCTCAGTTGTTTGACAGACAAAGACAAACCAAAATCAGACGAGCTGCCTGCTTCTATCTCGAAGTCAGCAGAAGAACCTGCCAACGCCACGGTCACCTTGAAGGTCCGTTGCTGTGTGGATGACGTGGTTGCTTTCGATCTTTTTACCTTTTGCTCCCTCTGGCAGTGCCTTCGCTCATCGTATTTTGGGATTTTCTTGCCTTTCGGACATTCCTTAATGCACTCCGTACAGTTGCAAGTCACAGGGCGCTTCTCGATGTCGTACTGGGTGTATTTGCTTCGCATCAGTAGACTGAAGCTGTGAAATAACAAATGTCTCACTTTGCTCTTCTGCTTCCCCAGCTTTCCGGACATTTAGTTGGCACTAGGTGTAGTCAGGGTCAAGGGGTGGTGGGGACTTAGAGGAAATTCAGGCAAGTTGTGAGGGCAAAGGTGGACTGGGTGTCCGTTGATATCAAACTACCATAGGTAAACTACTGGGTCGTCGTCAGCAGATCCGCCAGGTGAGACAAGGTGTGGGGACAAGTTTTGAGCGCATATCAACAAGCGGAAGTTTGAAGGCTAATACAGACGTGTAGTGTAGATCAGTCGAGGAAGAGTTTACATAGTTATACACCGTATAGTCTAGAAATTTTAGTGACCGAAACAACTTACGATCCCGACTGCTTGGAGTGACATGCAGCACGATGGTGAGAATACACGATTGCAAGCAAGGAAATGTGTTGATTGATGATCGACGCGATCAAAGATTTTTGACGCGTAGGAACAAGGAACAAATAAATGCAAATGTTGGACTTTGAACATTTCAAACTTATGAGCGCTGCCAGCGGCAATTAATAGCTGGCAACATACGTTATATACTAGTACTTACACATCATCCAATGGTCTCGATCCTCTGCAGGGGGTGAAGGACACCCTTGACGTCCTTTACAGGCATTCACTACCTCTGGTGGGTGTTGGATTATCGACTCGTCATTTCTCTTTGTCTTTTCGTCTTATCTCAATTCCTACTATGCGCGCGACTCTTAATTTATAATCTCGCGTCGCTCGTTTGTTCATACCTCAGTCATCGTCTCTCAACGCTGAGGTATGTCAACCGTTATCTTATCTCGCCGTCTCTGTCTCACATTGTGTTCTCTTATAGCGTGTTTCTTTTAGGTACTACGAATGTTATCTAGTCGTCGTCTCTCAACGCTGAGCATGTTTCTTTTAGCTTCTAACAGTGGGTTCCTGCTGCATAGTGTTAGCTTACTTTTCTCGGACAGAGCATGCTAAGCGCTTGCAAGTTGGATCCTTAATACTCCGGGCGTCTTGTTTCGCCTCTGAGGGATTGCTGTATAGTTGGCTTCTCCCGCTGAGTACTTATTATCTCTCAACTTAATTCGCTCATACTTGTCTACTTCTTCAAGTGCTTGCGAGCGACGATCATGTATCCATCACTCGTACCTGTTCGCACCTTCAAGTGTTCATGACGAGCGATTCTAATCGCGTATCCAAGTCCTACCTTATGAGGAATTTGAGGCTAGATCCTGCAGATACCTGCGGATGCAAGCAAGCGATCGCTGGTGAAAACTCGGTACGTGTCTCAACGATAAATTTTGATGAGGGCTGATTAAATTAATCGCACTGCAACGTTGGATGTGACGATATCCAGACTGCATATCTTCAACCCCTCAAGATATTCGACAATATTGTCAGGAACATCGCAAATGTATGCGCCGATCCTGCTCAACCGAACGCAGAACCGAACTTATGGCTCCACAGATAAATCCATACGCAATGACGACATGGGGGCTATTGTCTCGGGCATCTGAAGTACGTTTATTCATGCCCTAAGCCATCCTACTCAGCCTTAATCCTTGTAGATGTTTCTCGCCCTAACGTATTGCGAGATGAAAGATACGATTCAGTGGTACAGAGACGGGTTGCATGGACTAAGGCAACAATTCTGGGACCAACTCGTCAGGGATGTAGGTATCTGCGTTCACCCGTACGGGTAAGGATTTGGAGGTCCTTCTAAATTGCTAAAACCTCTTCATTATTGAATTCCCTTCTTAGTTTCGTTCTCGTCGGATGGGATGACATTATTATGTCTTTCCGCAGGCTCGGGGATACACTGCGAGCACGCCAGATGTTCTGATTGGCCAAGATCTTGCCTGCATACTCTCCTTCAGTTCAAGGACCGCGCTACTAGGTAGATTAAACGAGGCGACCGGTGGGACGGAGGAAGCAAGAGCACTTACGCTTCGATCTTGGCGTGATGAGAGTAAGTAAGTCACTTTGAAACCTTGCTGACTGAGGCCTGAGGCCATATTCTGAATGTTTAACAGGAACTGCTACTGAAATTCCATGCAGTTTTATCGAGCGACTTCGATTCAGCGTAAGTTTTCTGCAGATAATCCCAGATGATGGACGTGACTCATTCTACCCCCAGGAAATCATCAATGATCGTTGCAACGTCCTGCAGTCACTTCCGGGGTCATGACCATCGCACGGCCTCGTGTTCTACCTAGCCAGTTCCCACTGGCCTATCACACTTTCCCTCCTACTGCACAGGCGAGTGCTTCAAGTTCATATCTTAACCCATACTCATAATTTTACATTTATAGTACTCGGGCCGCGGCTCAGGCCAGAGCCGAGCCAAAGCCAGCCGTCGCTGGTGGCTTTGGCCCAGCCTGGATTTTTTGCAAGCCCAAGCCGTCTGAAGCCAGGCCGGAATATCACTAGTCCGACTCTTCACTGGGACTCAACCCTAGTCTCACCTGTGGGCGTGCGGGTCGCTCGATTTGATCAACGTCGATGACGTCGGCCACAACTATGAACTTCCTTGCACCATGCTAATGGCTCATTCGACATGGATTACCTTCCGACACCCTCTTGCCACATTCTCTGTAAGTATTTTCATCGGATTCAATCATTTGATGTTACACGATCTTGCAGGACTCGCACTTCGTATCACGCGATCAAATTTTTCTTGGTGGGTGGTTTCTTAGCACCGACGGCCATCATGTACTGACCCCTCTGAACTAGACCCTCGCAACACTAGATTCAACAGGGCTATAGATAACTAACTGAATAGTGCTACATCATTCCACTTGTTTGTATTACTGAATATCATGAATTTATTCTGCTACCTGTGTGAAGAGGTGCTACAAAGCAATGAACTGACTCCCTCCCAAGATCAAAGAAGCTGCTCACCGCCTTTCATGACGTGGCGGAGAGCATACTACATATGTCGGGTGTGGTACTACAATTGATGGATTTGGCAAATGTAGCAGGGCCGCGCCAATGCGGATTATCTTTTTCCGCGATGGTCTTTCCGAAGGAGAATACAGCATCATGGGGAAAGATCGGATTGAGGACATTGAAGGTGAATTAGTCCAGCAACAGCCATTTCTTGGTTTGAGCATGTCAATTAGGGGCGATTTACCTCCAGTCGCACATCTGTATGGCTAGCATCACGCTCAGGGACGACATCTACTAGCAAAACACAGACGAGCGATCTGTATAGCTAGCAGATGGAGTCATCACATCACGCTCAGGGACGACATCTACCAGCAAAACACAGTCGAGTGATCTGAATGTAGCAGGGCCGCGCCAATGCGGATTATCTTTTTCCGCGATGGTCTTTCTGAAGGAGAATACAGCATCATGGGGAAAGAACAGATTGAGGACATTGAAGGTGAATTAGTCCAGCGACAGCCATTTCTTGGTTTGAGAATGTCAATTAGGGGCGATTTACCTCCAGTCGCACATTTGTATAGCTAGCATCACGCTCAGGGACGATATCTACTGGCAAAACACAGACGAGTGATCTGAATGCAGCAGGGCCGCGCCAATGCGGATTATCTTTTTCCGCGATGGTCTTTCCGAAGGAGAATACAGCATCATGGGGAAAGAACAGATCTTGATATATGCTCCTCACTTATTAAAGTGAGCAGAGCAGCCCTCAGCAGCCAGTCTCGTCTGGTCGTACGATCGGCATGTGGCACAGTGACCAAAAGAAGAAGGGGACGGGTGGACGGTTGCATAATGCGTCTGACCAAAAGGGGAAGGGGACGGGTGGACGGTGGGACCGTTGCATAATGTGTGTTGCCAAAAGGGGAAGGGGACGGGTGGACGGTGGGACCGTTGCATAATGTGTGTTGCCAAAAGGGGAAGGGGACGGGTGGACGGTGGGATGGTTGCATAATGTATGTTGCCAAAAGGGGAAGGGGACGGGTGGACAGTGGGAAAGTTGCATAAGTGACTTTAACCAAAAGAGGAAATCCAAGTGCAGAAAAAACACTGATGGGAAAAAAAGCCAGGGGGACGGGTGGACGCTTATGTAAATTATGTCCAAATAAGGCAAAGGTGGACGGGGACGTTTGCACCCTGTAAACAGTCACAACATATAGATAGGTTATTTGACCATCTGAACACGTTGGTCGAGCCAGATTTCGCTCTAAAAATCATGTTCCAAAGTTGGCCACCCAAGTCATGCTGCCCCACCCAAAGATCGATTTTTCTAGACTTCATATGACTAGCCTGTCCTTCAAAAGCATTTTTCCTGGGGGCTATTGAGCCCTCTGAACACGATGGTAAAGCCAGAATTGCCTGGAAAAATCGTGTTCCTGAGATATACAAGGTCCTCCTCCTCCTCCTGACCTCATGAATGTCACTATCCCGGTATTTCACCTCAATACCGATACTGCAAACATTGATCCTAAGGTATTTGAGGCCTGTGAATCGATTGGGAATGGTCCCAGACCTTCCGGAGGTCAGCATTATTGTGATATGGGAGGTTGGCTCAAATATCGGTATTTTGAACATATCTCCACATTCCAACCGCCGTTTTTCTTAATTGTTGGCTCATATCCATCCTATCAATACCCTCTATGATATGTACCAGCCCGCCAAAAGATATTTTTTCACAAGTTTGAAACCTATTTCTATTTTGACCCTATAAATGGTCCCAGACCTTCCAGAGGTCAGCATTATCGTGATATGGGAGGTTGGCTCAAATATCAGTATTTTGGACATATCTCCACGATCCAACCGCCGTTTTTCTTAATTGTTGGCTCATATCCATCCTATCAATACCCTCTATGATATGTACCAGCCCGCCAAAAGATATTTTTTCACAAGTTTGAAACCTATTTCTATTTTGACCCTATAAATATCTCCACAACCCAACCGCCGTTTTCTTTGATTGTTGGCTCATATCCATCCTGGAAGTACCCTCTAACATATGTACCAGCCCACCAGAAGATATTTATTTACAACTTTGAAATGTATTTCTGAAATGACCATATAAGTGACCAAGCTGACCATGTTCTCACCATTTCAAAGGTTAAAGAAGATAATGAACCAAGTTTCAGCATCATAGGTATTTTTGTGAGGTGATAAACTTAGGTGTCCTCCAGTGATCAGGAGGCACCAGGACTAGATCATCTTGGATGCACTAGTGATTAGGCTGATCATGTCCATATCATTTTATAGGTCAGGAAAGATGGTGGACCAAGTTTCAGGATGTTTAGAATTTTTTGTGGGCTGAGACTTAGGTCACCTCCAGTGATCAGGATGCACCAGGACTAAATCATCTTGGATGCACCAGTGACCAAGCTGATTATGTTCCTACCATTGTAAAGGTCAAGAATGATGGTGCACCAAGTTTCAGAGCAGTAGGAATTTTTTGTGAGATCATAGACTGAGAACACCTTCTGTTATGAAGAGACACCAAACCCAGATTATGTACTGGTGAGTATACTGATGATGTCCCTACCATTTTAAAGGCCAGAGAACATGACAGGCTAGTTTTCAGGATCCCCAGAATTTTTTGTGAGGTGATAGACTCAGATCATCTCAACCCACCAGAAGACACCAGAGCCAGATCACTCTGGATGTACCAGTGACCAAGCTGATCATGTGCCCACCATTTTAAAGGTCAGAGAAGATGATAAACCAAGTTTCAGGATCACAGGAATTTTTTTCATTGCTATAGTTCACCCCCTCCTCCTCTCACCTAGGGCAAATGTCTGAGTGTGGTC